AGACGGCCACCCTCCTGACTTCTAACTGGGTTCCTCGCTTACACCCGTCTCCCCCGCAATTTAACCCGATGGTGCTTCCGGAGGGGGGAGGTCCCCTGGTTGAGGAGGTTATTGTTCCAGGAGAAGGGTGTTGGTGTGAGTCTAAGCTTAATCAGTGGTTTGATCCTCAGACCTGTCAGGCTATCAAAGCCATCCCGCTCCCCCGTGGTGGTGTTGAGGATAGAATGGTCTGGCATGACTCGGCGGATGGGGACTTCTCTGTTAAGTCTGCGTACCATCTGGCGGTGAGATTGGATCAACGTGCTAATAGTTGGCGGTCCACGGTTAGCTGGATGGACAGGAAAAGTTGGATTCGATTATGGGAGGCGAATATTCCGCCTAAGTTGAAAGTATTTGTGTGGCAGATTTTTAACCGTATTCTACCAACAACGGAGGCTCTTCGGGGGAAGGATGTCATGGTGCAGCCCCGGTGTCCAGTTTGCTGGGCGGAGAATGAGACAATGGAGCATTTATTTCTGGATTGCCCGGTAGCCCGTGCCCTTTGGGATTATACTAGATTGGAGCATCTAGGGCAGGCGCTCCCCCGCCATACCTTCCCGCTCTTTCTTAAGAAGTTACTGGCAGTTGTCCGCCAACCAGATCTTGTGTGTGCGGTGGTGGCTGTCCTCTGGCGTATTTGGCGTTCTCGGAACTGGGTAGTCTTCGAAGGGAAGCAGTTTGGGATCCCAGCATTGCCAGGCAGTATAACCAGCAGCTGGATGAATGGTTACGACTACCACCTGATCCAGTTTTGGTAACAGGGAACCCTATATCAAACCCCTTGAATCCAGTGCAGAATAACTCGGTTATTTGTATGTGGGATGGTGCGACACGCCATGGGTCCCATTCCGCTGGGGGGGTGGTAATCATGACGCCAGCTAGGGAGATTCTGGGGGTTTTGGGAGTACAATTCCAGGGGGTCGATGATCCTTTGGTCGTAGAGGCTCTTGCTCTCCGGGAGGCGATTTGGTGGTGTCGGAGGCGTGGGTTATCGGTGGTGCAATTTGAAGGTGATGCCAAGGTTATTATTGATAAAATCAATAGGGCAGAGATTGGTGATACTCGGATGGGGGCTGTGCTTGAAGAAGTGTTTTCTTATTTTTCCAGTCATTCGGGGTATAGGGTACGATTTGTAGGTCGGCGTCACAATAGGGTAGCCCATTTGGTGGCTAGGAAAGCCCTTTCATTGTTGCCGGCTACGTGTCGTGTTTTTGATTTTCAGACCTGGCTGAATTCCAGGATGTAACTCCCTTTCTTTTGGATCAATATATGATTATCTTTTGCCAAAAAAAAAAAATGACAACCAGTGAAACAAATTAATTCAATCAAATTCAATTTGCTATTACTACATGAAACAGTTCAATTTATAGAAATGAAACGAGGGAATGCTATGATATGTGTCTTGCTCTAATCTCTGAAGAAGCCTCTAACAGTCATCAATTAGATTTGACGAATTTGAATTCACTTTATATAGTTTTAAGTAATAAATTGAGGAATCAGGATAATTGTTCCTCTGGAAGTCTGGAACTAAAATGATACTAGTCTCTTAGGTACCAAACTAGTTTATGAAAGTAGATATATAATGATATAATCCAATACATTGCTAAGTTTGATGGCCCTAAAATGATTTAAGAGTAACATAAATTTAAGGATCAATTAGTGCTCAAGCAGTTTACCGCATTTTTGGTTTAAAGTTCGGCCTAAAAAGAAAGAAAATCGGGAAAGAAGATTACACAGAGAAATGGAAAGTTCGGTGTCGAAAGATATTTCCAAAAGCAACCTAACGACACCACAGAATATCATCAAAGTATTTCTTTACCAAAAAGATCAAGTTTTCAATGATATCACTCCTTTTTCCCTTGTCAAATATTTGCAGTGTGGCTGGAAAATTATTCGACGACAAGAATAGTCTACCGACACATTCAAAATCTGACAATTTTCCTAAATAAGCATTTTAATCCATTTAGTTCCTTGTCTGGAAATTTTGACCCGGCTCCAGAAGGTAGAATTTCCTAATCACGCTTAAGTGACAGGGTTCTTGTTAACCAAGGAAAGATAATATATTAGTTAGCAAATTGTTTCAAAATAAGGTAACGAAATTTCTTTTATAAATGTGATATAGATTTTTGACGAAATCTCAAAATGCGAACTTTAGGTTGAAAACAAGTGGTAGTGCTACTATGAAATGTTTTCAACTCAAGATTAGGGGTATTCAAATGGTATGGTTACCGTGGTAACCGTTTTAACCAGTAATATTTGGTTAATTTGGATAATTGATTAAAAAATTTAGCTTGTTTGGTTTAGATGGTTTGGTTTCAGACACTCCTAACCAATCAAACCAAATTAACCAGTTAAGTAATTAGTCATATATCTAATTTTATATTATATACACATACTTAATACTTTGCATAACCACTCAAGAGTCAAATGTAAGATAATTGTATTTGTTACATGTATTTACGTTAAGGGTTACCTATAATTATGTGGATTGTTATGTGTTATTCATTATATAAATTGCTAATTGATGCACTAACCGAAAAATTTTCTCACTTAATGATAATGTGATGTTATATTGGTTAACCAATTGACCAAACCGATTAAACTTTAGTTTGGTTAATTTGGTTGTTGTACTAGTTTGGACAGTTTCGTTATGATATTATATTTCATAGTTAATAGAATTTAGTCTTATTTAGTTTGGTAATTACCATGGTAACCATTTGAACACCCCCTACCCAATAGGGGTGGCTATTTGGACCGGGACCGGATTAAAAACCGGAAACCGTACCGTATAACCCGGACCGAGACCGGACCGGGACCGGATAGTAAACAATCCAATCCAATCTTTGGGCTTAGATTTGAGGTAAAAAACCGGATAAAGACCGGATAAGAGAGCTCAACACCCAAAACTTAAGGGTAATTTGCATAAACGGTCACAAACCTTTGCACTTAGTACAAAACTTAACCAACTCCTCACCCTTTAAGGCCTTAGGCCACTCAAATCCCACAATCTCAATATAAAATCAAGACCGAATTGGGACCGGACCGGATCAAAACCGGACCGGATCAAGACCGGACTGTATCCAATCCAATCTTCGGTCCTTATATCTTCAAAAAGACCGGACTGGACCGGATCAATTTGGGCCAATTTAACCGGACCGGACCGTATAGCCACCCCTACTACCCAAGATAACATAGCTTAAACTAGTATTGTGTATGTTCTTTTTAAGGTGCCTCTTATGCACTAATCTAATGGACAATAAAGCCGTCAACATTAAATACATGATAATATTGAAATGAGACAACACATTCAACCAGTAATATACTGATATAAACTGATCAAAATCTTGATCAATATACATCGGATGGATTCTTTGCCTATGTTATACCAACCAATACAGATTCTTCTATACATTTGTACATCATTCTGATTTGATTGACAACAAAGCGTTTTCATAATACGACTATGGATAAAGACAAACCATGAAATTTACCCTTAAAAACTTTTTTATATTTAGTCCCACTAGTTCAAAATAGGATTGAATTTCAAATTCCAACTCATTGTATTTAGTTATTAACTATTGAGTACCGATCATCTAGAACATTTTAACAGCTAGACAGGAAGTCATGATTGTACTCTCCCTAAAACGTACCTTTCCATTTTTCACTGTACCGTAAAGATACGTTATAATGCACTTTGTAACCGATGGACCCAAATAAATATTAATTTATGTGGTAAGAGGAAAAGCTTCTAGAAACCCTTTAGATACCGACCGGTCACTGACTCATCATCCCCAGCCAATTTCAGTACAGGCTCCAAGCTGACTCAGCATCCAGAGGCACCGCAACTCAGCCGAGTCCAGAACGAGTGACAGCCGAGCCGCTCCGTGTTTCGTGGATACGGCCTGCCACACTCGCCCAGCCCAATCAAAAGATCTGGGGGCATAGGAGGGTTAATTACATAACGGCCAGCTAAATTTTGAAGTAACTAAAAACGGGTCTCCGAACTTAAAAAATTTCGACAAACAATCACTGGAGTTTGAACTAATTAACAGAAAGGTAGTGGTGAATAATGACTTCTATCCATCACCATGTGATTTTGCATCCACAATCAAGTGAGTTGTAACTTGTAACGAAACTTGAATGATTTCGAGACTCTGTCTGCAGGACGCTCGATTAGAGGATTTTCGGTCAAAATTGGAACGGACCGCCACAACTGTTCTTGCGGAGGTCTCGGCTTTCATCCAGGGGACTAAAGTTGGTGTGGAAGTGTGGTTACAGAGCAATCGAGATTGAGACCAACTCGCAGCTTGCCATTGAGTTTATTCAGAGCAAACTCGATCAAATTCATCCATATGCTACTCAGTTATTTGTGATTCAAAGGAAACTTAGTCGAGATTGGTTGGTTTGTGTTACTCATACATACCAGAAAGGGAATAGAGTATCGAACAATCTCTCGAAACACAGTCTCGCTATCCCTATGGTATGTATGAGCTAGCCGACCCACCACCCAAACTAGTTTCGATCCTCCGTTATGATGTTTTAGGCATCTCGCTGGAGCGTCGTATTGCTGCTCGTCCCTCTTCATCTCTCTAATCCCCTCCTGTAAGGCTATAACCTTTTCTGTTTTCTTGGCTTCCTTCTATATCAATGAAAAAAAAAACTTGAATGACTATTAAGCAATTAATCCCTACGGATAAGTCCTCACTGGAAAACAGAACCCCCAACACAAAAACTTAACCATGGTTTTCCCCCAAACAAGCAAATAAAAACTCAACCATGGTTAAATGTAAGCCACACATCCGTCTCTCCCCTTACCGCACCGGCATCGACCCCTTCCTATATAAACGCCTCAAAGGTCTTCCCCTCCATGACCTAAAATTCCCAACGGAATCCTCTGAACCATCAATCCAAGCAATCGGGAAAAAACCTCCAACACCGATCAATCAATCGAAGCAGAAAAAATGGCATCCGCCTCATCTTTTCTCAGCCTGCCTTCTTCATCTTCTCTAATCGCCCCCAATCTCGAATCCGGGAGATTTCACTCTTCGCAGCCGTCTCGAATCGGATTCCAGCCGCTCCGAGTCTCCGCCTCCTGCGCCTCCACCGCCGAGAGGGGGACCAGCACGTCCACAGCGGGCAGCCGCCGGCGAGGCGTTAACCCCGCCGCCGCCTCCTCGTTCTACGAGGTTCTGGGGATCCCGATGGGCGCATCGTGCCAGGAGATCAAGTCGGCGTACCGGAAACTGGCCAGAGTCCTCCACCCGGACGTCGCCGGCGAGGAGAGCGCGGCGAGCGAGTTCATCGAATTGCACAAGGCGTACGAGACGCTTTCGGATCCGGCCAAGCGGGCCGATTACGACCGGTCCCTATTCCGGCTGGGGCGGTCGATGAGCTACGCCTTCGTGATGTCGGCCGCTTCGGGTTCGGGCTCGGGTTCCCGGTCCGGGTACACCAGCCGGAGGTGGGAGACTGATCAGTGCTGGTGAAAATCAGTAGGGACTGATTTGCAAAGGGGGAAAAGATGCTGGACTGTTTTGGAGCCTCTTAGATCTATGTATAGGAAGTAGTATTAGACTAGTTTAGATCGATTCAGAAAATTAGAGCTCGATTCTGAAATTCGCCATGTACGTAGCAAACCAACGCCTTTCCTGAGTTCGGATCTTCTGATGATGTATCAGTTAACGGGCGGCATTTTTTTTTCAGCCCGAGTATCAATGGAATCTCCTTGGATTTGAATGGATGTTTGTTGCAAAAAATTTGAGGACCAAAATGGAATTTTGGTAGTTGGAAAAGTATTGGCAGTTTTGATCTACACAAGTACACAACACACCAAGAAAGATTTCTCTCATCATGGGCTTCTAGAAGCAAATCTCAAGTATGGAAAGAGAGTAGCCAATTGGCATTCGGTATCTAAAACGAAATTCTCTTGTTTCTCCACTTCCCCCCTTTCGATTTAGGTAGGACACAAAATAAGCATGGGACCCCAAAAGGGCAATTTGGTACTACGTATCATCCGTTGGGATCTCGAACATACCGTATTTCTAGAAGTTCATGGTTGATAGTATCAGACTCCCCCCCTTTTGATTAGGTAGGATAGGACACAAACTAAGCATGTGACCCCAAAAGGGCAATTCGATAATACGTATCATCAGTTGGGATCTCGATTTTAGAACGTACCATAATTCTAGAAGTTCATGGTTGATAGTATCAGATCGTACAAGTCTGAATCTCATATATTTTAATGACCAGAGTAAAATTTACCAGTCCAGATTGGTGATAATATATGTAATTAACATGCGAGTAAAGTTAATAATTGAGATAGAGAAGGGCGAAAAATCATGATATCAAGTCATGTTATGTTTGCTCGTTCGGACACCTAGCAAAAAAAATTCAAAAGGAAAGGCAAAAATAAGATGGCAATCAACCGGAATGAGACTTTTCAGATAAGGGGGGATCTAAGGTGTGGAGGGCAACCGATGTTAATTACATTGATGGTTAGTTTTGTTTGTAGTTTATGTCCATCCAATGGTGTCTCTCTTGATGGGGACTCGGGAAGGGAGACTAAATAATGCATCACTTTAATAATGGTGTTTTTTTTTAAGTAGTTAATGATTCCGTCTCTGTCATTAAAGAACGTAAAAAAGGATTAGTGAATAATCAATTAGCTGTCAACCTCAATCAATGGGGGAGAAGAGAACAAGGGGCGGTGACCCTGAAATTAGTAAAAAACTAACCGTTGGCTGGAAGTTGAAGTTGAAGTTGGATACCCGCCGGGGCCGCATAGTTGGAAATGACAAAAAAAAGAAAAAAACAAACAAACAAATTAGTGGGAAACCAATGGGCGTAGCAGCACGATTTCGCAGCTCACATGGGTTGGTTCGCCCTTTTGTTGCCTTGTTGGTAAATATTAGACCATAGTTTTCGTGACGTTCGATGGGCTTTTACAATTAAGCTTAAGAAACTAAGCCCACAGAAATACCTGACGACAGAGTGGAGCGATCCCTAATTCCTACATGACTTCAACTAATGAGCGACTCGTTATGACTTGCAGTCACAATGCGAGTTGCAAGAAATTGTATTCGAGGTTACAACGAAAAAGTTAGTGGTATGATATATTGTACTAAAATTGTGGTTTAATCACGATTCACTCGTTTCGTATATCATTACAATCGCCTATTTTTCTACGTTTGTGATCCGATACCTAATATTTTTTCGGTCCGGCTAAACGGTGGACTACGGTAAGGTTTCGTAAACGTTGGTTGCAAAACACCAATTTCGTAACACGAGTTTCAAATTTACGATGTCAGGTATCCGAGCCAACTCAATCTGTTAGTGGGGAGCTATTTGTAGCATACGAGGGATCATAATGTCACTCCATATGTGTTTAAGAGATTATAACATGTGGGAATGTTTGAACATACACTTGGAAGTGTTAGGATACAATCTGTTAACTTCTTGTCCAGTATTTGGATTGAAATTTTATGTTGTTGTTGTTGCATTGTTTTAATCAAAGCCTCGTTGTAATTGCCGACTACCCTAAGCATCTAGATTGGTTGCATCGGCGATGTTCTTACCTTGCAAAACAGTAGGCTTCCGAGTAGGGGTGGGCATTCGGTCGGTTCGGTTCAAACCGAACCGAAATTATGCATACCGGGTCCCCAAATTTTAGCAACCCTCAAACCGAATTATAATTCGGTTCGGTTCGGTTTTCCATACAAAACCGAAATAGTGAGGTAAGTTTGTATCTTCTCTTTTTTAAATTATTTTTCACCCATAATGTGAACAATAAATATGCATCATCAATGATAAAATCAAACATTTCAACACATAAGTCATAAAACACTAACATGATTCAAATATTTAAGTCTCATAATAAGTAGAAACATAAAAATCCACCATTTAAAGCTTGCAATTATAATAATTCGGTTTTTCGGTTCGGAATTCGGAAATTTGGTTCGGTCGAAAGGACCCTGATTTTCGAAATATGCCCTTTTCTCTTCCGAATTCCGAACCGAATAACATTAATTCGATTTCGGTTCGGTTTATATTCGGTTCGGTTTTACCGAACCGTATGCCCACCCCTACTTCCGAGACTTATAAGACGTTTGGATGGGGACAATTGGATGTGGCACTGTGCGCCAATTGCTCCAAAATGAGGCATTTGAGTTTTAAAAAAAAGTCATGAGTATGGTATGATATTTGGAAAACATAAGAAATGAGTTTGTATTTCCGTATGATGCATTTTCCCCTCCTTCAATGCCATGTTTTTAATTGTAGTATTTTTTTTCTTTTACAACAAATAAAAGCATTCAAACAAGCTGTCGTCATCTGTGTCTAATGACGCTCTTCTAGCGAAGAAAGGGTAACATATTGTTAGTATCACTAATCATTTGCACCTGGTTTCCCAAGTAATGTTAATGGGCAGATTTTTGCCATTATCATCCTCATCCTCATCACTATCCTCATTCTCATTTCCAAGAACTCAAACTCTTACATGTCACTTACCCATATGGAGAGAGATTTCACGACCTCATCCATGTACCGGTGGATAATGTCCGTTCGGTATATTCAATATTATTGTACCTAGAATAAATGTAATAATTGATATGACTTTCTCTGCGGATCGGAAAATAGGAGGACTTGACAATGCAAGAAAAGGAAAGAAAGAAAAAATACACGAAAAACACACGAACTTACGTGGTTCATTAACACAATGTGTGTTAGTTAGTCCACGGGCAGGATAGAGTCAGTTTCACTATACTTCGAGAAGATACAAATTACAGAGGAGTATGAGAAGTAGCGTCAGTCCGATTCAAGTCACATTAACAATTATTTATAATAAACATGTAAATATTCAGTTATAACATTTAAACAAACCTACTAATAAACAGTAAAGTAAAAAAAAGTACAATCATTATTGATATGTCAAAAACATCAAATCCTACAACATTCAATATTCCACGAGACAATCACTACTTTTACTATCCAATTACTATTTTTGCAAACATATAATAATACCCCTTTGCAAGGCGGGTGTTTGTGTGAGTATTGGTACCGTGGTACGTGGTGGGCGACCTAAAACCATCCCCTCATTTCATCAATATTTTTCACTGAGTTTATTCATATCTATCTCATACATAATTAATAGGGAGATTCACGAATTTATTGGGTGAGGCAGTCAGATAAAGGTGAGTTTTTTTATTTATGAAAAGAGCTACTTATATTGCAATTTGGAAGAGCGATTTATAGATGGTAGAGGTGGAGAATACAAAAATGGACAAAAAGCTCAAGAACTCCAAACAACCAGAAGGATATATCCTGTTGGAAAGATGCATCATTAAGAGGGGAAAAATAGCATTAACAACAACTAAGGGGAGCCAGGGGCGAAGCCAGGATTTTAAATCCGGGGGGGCCAAAAATAAAATTTTAAATTATACCAATAAAATAATAATATAAAATATATTTTTATTATTTATTATCTTAAACGTACACGTCGCTCTTTGAGATCAATGAAATCACTCAAAATATCATCTAAACTAAAGGTGTCCACTATATCATGTTCGATATAAATAACAAGACCATCAGCTAGAAAATCATCACCCATTTTGTTTTGCAGTTTGGTCTTCACCAACTTCATGGCAGAAAAAGCTAGTTCACCACTAGCAGTAGAGACTGGAAGAGTCAAAACAAGACGAATTAGCCGATCAACAAGATCGAAGTCCTTTGACTTCCCGGACTCTGCTAAACCATGACATAGTTCAGCAACAGATGATAGATTCGCCAAAGCAGGATGTGCAAGAGCAGCACCATGAAAAATCCTCAACTGGAATGCCAATCTATCTATTTCTTTCTCAGAAAAATCCAAAGGATAATACTTTCCAGCAAGACTGCAAATAGCATTAGCATCGAAGGCTTTATATCCATTGCTAGGATCCAAACTCGAGCTCAATTTCAGAAGTTCAACAATCTTTTCCTCAAACCTTGCTCTCAATTCCTCTATCTGAACATCAAGGGCAGCATTGAATATATCAAAATGATAATGATGCTCATTGGTGATAGTATCTACCTGTCTCACTGTCTGCAAGGACGACCTTCAAAATGTGAAGCACTAAAATCTGGAACTGTAATACTATAATCCTTGCAGAACTTGTTGACCTTTGTCAAGAAAGAATCCCAACCTTCATCCCTCATTTCCTTCAACACCATTTTAGTAATTTCCACCAAACTCATGGCATTCACAATGTCTTGAGACTTATGTTGCAGAGCACGACAAAGTGTATCAGTGGTGCCAAAGATATCATTCAGTAGAAGTAGAATGAAAATAAACTCATATGATGACATCTTCCTCAAAGCTACACGAGCATCCCCTTTGTTTTGGCCGTATACCCATCTTTCTTTATGTCTTCCAGAACTTTGTAAGATGATTCATACAATCGAATAACACTGGATATAGAATTCAGATGTGAACTCCAACGAGTATCACCAGCTCGTTGTAAAGTACTCATTTGATTAACACTGGTTCCTGTGGCAATCTCTTCCCCTGCTACTAATTGAGCAATCCTAGCTGCTTCAACAACTTCCAATTGATCATGCCTCTTAGAAGAAGCATTAACAACATTTACAATATGTGCCAAGTCAATGAAAAACTCGTGCACGGCTGTCACATCTTTAGATGCTGCAACTAGTGCTAATTGAAGACGATGAGCCATACAATGCACATAATAATCTTGAGGATGATCTTTCAGAAACAATGCTTTCAAACCATTCCATTCACCGCGCATATTACTAGCACCATCATAACCCTGCCCACGTAGATTCTGAATAGCAAACTTATGGGAAGAAAGAGTTAAGCAAATCGAAGTGTGCAAAGTCATTGATTTTGTATCTCTAACATGGACAACATCAAAGAATCTCTCCTGGATTAGCCCTTGAGAATCATCAAAGCGAAGAATGATAGCCATTAGTTCATGTTTACTCTCATCACAAGCCTCATTCACAATAATGGAGAATTTAGAATCTCCTATTTCTTCAAATATTTTGTTGCGTACCTTCTTAGCTGAACATGAAGAATTTGCTTCTGAATATCGGATGATGTATACTTCGCATTCTTCGGAGCATTACCCAACACAGTACTTTTGACTTCATCATTGTAGTAAGAGAAGCGATCAATAAGCTCAATGAAGTTGCCACGATTCTTAGAATGAAGGGTCTCATCATGAGCTCTAAAGGCGGCTCCTTGAAGTGCTAGCCAACGAGCACTATCAATTGAGGCTTTCACTCGAATCCTATTCTTCTTTACTTCCTCGGAAGTTTGCTTCTAAATCACTTTGTCAATGTGTTGAGGTTGGTGTAGTAATGCATTGCGCTTCCTTACTGCAACATTGTGATGAGAATTTGAGCTTTCTCCCATATGCTTTCGGAATGAACAACCTTTTCCACTTTTAACCTTTTTCCGATTTCGAAATCCTTCATTAACAAATGTGTCCCAACCAGATTCAGCAATAGGCTTTTCATCAAACAAATAGCACGGGAGACAATATGCAGCATCCTTTGATTCCGAGTATTCAACCCAAGGAAATTCATAATACCATGCAACTTGGAAGCCGCGAGGATGATCAGGATCACCAGTTCTAGGAAAGTTAGGAAGCTCAACTTGTAGGGGGCCATAACTCAAGTAAGCTCGCCTTATCTCATCACGTTTATTGGGTGGAAATGTCCACACTGGCTTACACAGTCCAGGATCTCGTTCGATTAAGGCGAATGATGGATTAGTCACTCTCGGACTAATGAGAGAATCCTCATTCACCACAACATTAGAGCGCTCATCAATGCCCAAGTTCAAAGCTCTAGGAACTACTTGTACTTCCTCTTCGAAATTATTACCAGTGCATGGCAAAATATTTCTTGGAAAAAATGCATCCAGCTTCTTTTGTTTTCTCTTCATGGTAGCTAACAAGAACAAAACAGAAAGTTAAGGTCATTAACATTATCAATCGAGAACCAATAAAACATGAACACATTTTGTAATCCAAGTTCAAAGTATCTATTCCAATTTGACAGTATACTGCATACACATACCTATTGCTCCATGCTCCTAGTTTACTGTAGGTGTTTGAGAATTGAGCCAATTTTATATGGCAATTTTCACACTCCAATTTCAGTTTAGCAACCACTAAATTAATCAATCCTACTTCAATTCCCAAACTGAAAGATCAATTCCACATCGAATACCCAATCAATTCCATAACCCTACCGAAAACAGGAAAGTGAAAACACCAATTGGAGCAGCATAAACTAGAGGGAGCAGCAATGTACTCGCTATAGGAATGAATGGGCGACTTTGTGCTAGCCAGAGGAGCACAGACGGAGATGAGATGGCGATTGGGCGAAGGCACGATGATTCGATGAAGCTGAGTCTTGAATCCCGACGGCGACGGCAACGAAAAGGGTGACTATGATCGCCGGAGGAGCACGAACGTAGTCACGAAGATTAGAGGGCGGTTGGCCGAAGAGTTGAGTTTTGACTCCCGGCGAGTGGACGGAGATGAAAAGGGACGAGGCGGGAGTATTTTGGGGGAAAGCACTGCGAGGGGAGGAAGACCTCTGTTTCCCGAAAGTGAATTGGGAATTAGCCTGTGTTGAGTGTTCTCGTTTTGACTTTGAGGGCTGTAATATTAAAACAAGTTAAGTAAAAAAATTAAAATAATGAAAAGATGCAGCAACCAGCAGGGAGATGTCGTTTTGTGGGTCTTTGAAAACAAAAGAAATAACAATGAAAAGGAAGTATGGGACAGGTTTTGAACCTGCAAGCTCTTATTCACAATGTTAGAGTTTCACCGTTGCACTATAACTATTGTTCGTGTTTATTTAATGGAGATACCTATATTTGTAAATTTTCTATAAATTCCCGGGGGGGCCATGGCCCCCCTGGCCACTGCTCTAGCTTCGACCCTGAAATTATTCAATCCTACTTCAATTCCCAAACTGAAAAATCAATTCCACATCGAATACCCAATCAATTCCATAACCCTACCGAAAACATGAAAGTGAAAACAGCAATTGGAGCAGCATAAACTAGAGGGAGCAGCAATGTACTCGCTATAGGAATGAATGGGCGACTTTGTGCTAGCCAGAGGAGCACGGAAGGAGATGAGATGGCGATTGGGCGAAGGCACGATGATTCGATGAAGCTGAGTCTTGAATCCCGACGGCGACGGCAACGAAAAGGGTTACTATGATCGCCGGAGGAGCACGAACGTAGTCATAAAGATGAGAGGACGGTTGGCCGAAGAGTTGAGTTTTGACTCCCGGCGAGTGGACGCCTGGACGGAGATGAAAAGGGACAAGGCGGGAGTATTTTGGGGGAAAGCACTGCGAGGGGAGGAAGACCTCTGTTTCCCGAAAGTGAATTGGGAATTAGCCTTTGTTGAGTGTTCTCGTTTTGACTTTGAGGGCTGTAATATTAAAACAAGTTAAGTACAAAAATTAAAATAATGAAAAGATGCAGCAGCCAGCAGGGAGATGTCGTTTTGTGGGTCTTTGAAAACAAAAGAAATAACAATGAAAAGGAAGTATGAGACAGGTTTCGGACCTGCAAGCTCTTATTCACAATGTTAGAGTTTCATCGCTGCACTATAACTATTGTTTGTGTTTATTTAATGGCGATACCTATATTTGTAAATTTTCTATAAATTCCCGGGGGGCCATGGCCCCCCGACCACTGCTCTAGCTTCGCCCCTGAGGGGAGCCAAAGCCTCAGTCAAAACAAAAGTATACTAACATGCTCACACAACTGCCACTGTCGAAGAAGCACCAAAACAAGAGTGAGTATAACAATACCATAAGCCGCCTTCTAGGAGCCATTCACAGACGACTTATCACAATGAATTTCAGTTTTCGATTACATTTTGGGGAACATGAAGACTGAAGTCGTATTGCTCAAAGTTTACATGGGCTAGAGAAACCGGAGTCAGCAGGCTAGGTCCAAGGAGAAAAGGGAAACCAGAGGGTTGGAGGCAAGCCCAACGGAAAACCCAAACCAAATAAATAAACCTACAACTTGAAGCCCGAGCTCATACAGGCCCATCAGACGAATTGAAGCCCAAATCCAAATCATCTTTTCCTGGGCTTGTCAGGAAGTCGGAAAATAGAAGTGTCAAACACCACATACGCATTAGCTCCCTGACAATTAAACCATGAGTGTGGATACCCGACCGTCTAGACCTAGTTAACACGAGAATTCCCACTTTGATCGGGTATGAGATAGGTATGGATAAAATTCGTAAAAAGTTTGATGGGTACGACATATGAGTGGGTATGGTTTTAGCCTCCTCCGCCCCATACTCACTCATACCCGCCCACCAAGAACATTTCTTCACATATAAAAAATACATGGATCAAATTGTAAATATCGTGCCACCCAAATCAAAACCTAATTCATTTCTCTCAATTCTCGCTTCATTCTTTCACTTTTGCATCTTGTTAATAAAATTATGCTACTTAATTATTACTTAGCACATGTATTAGAGTTAGAGAATAACTATTTGACAAATATTGTACTCTATCTTATGGATTAATGGATGTTTTAGGATCATATGATTTAAATCGTATTAAGAATGATTTTATCTTTGTTGACTTCATGATATAGTAGGTACGTTTAGTGTTATAATAAAAAAAATTACATGTAAAGTCTTGGGTATAATAATGTTGGATGTACGGTACGGGTATTACTCATGAGTACCCGAAAGGCCGAAACTCACAAGTATGGGGTTGGGTTTGCAGAACCTTTCATGCATGGGTATTAGGTAGGTATGAGTTTGAATATTTGAAAAGAGGGATAAAATGATTCAGACAACTGGCCCATGGATTTTGTACTTGCGGGCTGGCAATAGTATCAACTATCCAGATGGGCGGATCGTAGAAAAAAACTTTAGCTTCAGCCCAAAAGCCCAACAAACTGAGTTACATACTTTTGTTGAAACTAGCCGCCGTCGGCAGGTCTCAGGCAGCGCAGAAATGGCTAGACTGATACGGCCCTTGCGCCAACAATGGCCGCAGCTCAATAACCACCATTGTTGCCGCTCCAGTCCTTCGCTCCACCATCTCCTGACCTCTCCAACTTCAACATTAAGCTGCTGCAGAGCCGCTCCGCAACTTGTCTGTTTCGCTGCTACCCCTATCTCCTCTCACCGCAGCGTCCACACTCGCACTCGCGCACGCGGTCCGAGATTCGCAAACGCTCCGCGGTCGGCCGACGTCGACGAGAAGGAAGGCGAGAGCGGAGGCAGCGATTCCGAATCCGATGGAAAGAAGAGCCGCAACGAGAAGAAGCGCGAGGCTCGCCGCGCCGTCCGTTGGGGGATGGAGCTCGCCGCCTTCGCTCCTCCGCAAATCAAACGGATTCTCAGGTACCCTTAGCGAATCCAAGTTCTGCCTTCTCCAGGTTAGGATTTAGTAATTAGCTTGATTGTTTGTATTTGGGGAAAACCTACAGGATGGCTAAGCTTGAACGAGAGGTGTTCGAAGCTTTGACGCTTGTAAAGGTGCACATTTCTTCCCCTGATTAGCTTTGGGCAAGCAGTTGAGTTTCTGTAAAGATATTGTAGCTAAGGTGTTTGTTCAATTGTCGCAGAAATTCGGACCAGACGTCAAAGAAGGGAAGCGAAGGCAATATAACTATATCGGTAAATGATTCCTTGTTGTTGTCGAATTAGGGTTAAAATTCTCTTTTCATTTTCTCAATTGAATCAATCAATCCTTCATGTGAAATGGTTTGCGCAGGTAAGCTGCTTCGTGATGTAGAACCAGAGCTAATGGACGCCTTGATCCACGCAACCAAAGATGGGGACTGGAGTAGGCTGCAGACCGTTCCTGGTTTCAAAGCTGAAGAAGCCAATGACAAAGAAATCGAAGATGAATTCGAAGAGGAAGAAGAGGTACGATGAATTAGTTTACACCGCAAGTATTGGTTAATAAAGCTTGGAATGATAGCTTAGGCCTCAAAGAACTTAGTTTTAGGGTTTCGGTTTCATCCATTTGAAGGGTACACATCGTAGTATCAGCCCCGTCCTAGTTTTTTTCTCGGTCTATCATTAAGCGAGTGATTTTATATATCAAGAGAGGAAGGAACAGGGGAAACACACAATCTGCCTACGAATCTTTTATGGTAGAAGCAGCCTCATCCTAGTTCACTAGCTTTACTAGAAACGGCATTTGCTCAATCATCATCGGATAAATTTGCCAGGTTTCTGAGGAGCACATTGAGATGTCAACCAGATGGTTTGATGGTTTAATCACAAACGACGTTGACATAACCAAAGAAGTTTATGCAGTTCGCGTGGTTGATTTTGATCGTCAGGCAAGTGTTAATCTGTCTTCTACAAGTACTTTACCTATCATCATTACTTCATACATATTATTAGAGGCTTATCATCAAGTCTGCCTGGTTGTAATTGACAAGCAGAGTGTGGATGGTCTGTTATTAATTCATGCTGCTGCATTTGGTTTCGTTGTCTATTACGATTTGCAGGAGTTGCGGAAACTAGTACGAAAAGTGCATGCAGTTCAAGAACGGGAATCTGATGGAGACGAGGAGAGTGAGAAGAAGGCGGCCGCTGCCATGGCCACTGCCAAGAAGTCGCTCAACAGGTTCCTTCGTATCCTTGCCAAGCAGATGCCTACTGAATAATGATACTGAATCCAATGCTATTGAGTTTTAATAAGAAAAAGATGATTATTTCATCATTGGGCAAGTTTGGGTAAATGCTCTATTGGGTGATGGGCTGTACTAGGACTTCAGGCCCAATGGTCTACGGGCTTGGGCATGGTCATGGGCCTGGAAGTCCATATTTGCCTTCTAAGCCTTGAAGATCACATAATTTGCACTGTGCCAATGTACCCACCAACAAAAGAAAAACCGCTGCCCTTGGAGAGGGACGTTAGCTTGGACCCGATCCATTCGCCCCTTTATCACCCATTCACCATTTATTTGTATTTTTCCTTCAATAGTTTAACTTCAATATATGTATCATTAAGATCAAACCTTAATTTAGTTTTATAGTCTCGCGTACTCGTTTATTTATAAATTACTTAACCTTGTATTTCCATATATTATGGCCTTTAACAGTGATATAGGTTTGTTTTTAAAGTTGGTTGTTGGTTAAGAAATTCGAATCTTAAACCTTCAAGTTGAAGAATAGTGGTAGTATCACTAAACTAAACCTTGTTCATATATGTTATGGTCACATTCTCATGTTAGAATGGGTATATTAGGGTTTGTAGGGTATCAGTGTTCTTGCTAGGGTTGCTCACGGGCGATCGTCGTTCAATTCGAAAAAAATTGTGTTTGGCTCGTTTACTAAAGAGTTGAGGTGGCTTAACTGTTAGGAACGGAACAACAACAAGAACGAGGTTACCGAATCTGGAGCTGAGTCGCGGACTAGGTCGCTCTCTTTAAGACGTTCGCGGCACTGTCCTCGATGCGCACGGCAGACTATCAACCGGTCGTCTCCAGGATAAAACAGCTCTGTGTACTCGCGGTTTTGTGCAAAAACTGGAGCTCTCTGAACACTCTCTCTATTGTGTTTATGCTCGTTGTAGGGACTGGGGAGGCGGCTATTTATAGGAGCCGAACCCCTAGGAATATACCCTCTTGCTTGGGGAATAAGTCGGATTAATTAAGGAAGATAATTACTTCCTTAATTAAAACTGTCGGTTAGGATAAATCCTGCGGGGATTATCCTTCGAATATTCATTTTCAATCGATTATCCCTAGAATATTCCTCAGAATAACCGATTAATAATTAATTATTAGATAATTAATTTCGTTCGAAATTAATTATTAGATTAGTTCCTTAATTAATAATATAGTCTCAAGTGAACCAACCGACTGACCGGTCGGACGGCGCGCGCGCGTGTGGTGGTCCGTTAGGTCCTCCCTTTCCCACAAAAGTGGGTCACCCCAAGGGGCATGCCCTTAGGAGAGAGGCTCCTATTTTTATACACATTTCACCAAGTAAAACTACCAATGTGGTAGTTTTTCCACTTGAGACTCTATAGCTTTCAAAGCTATTCATACACATTTCCGACAATCCCCCACTTGAATAGTTTTGAAACTATCTCTGAGCATCAACAATTCCATAAGATCGGGCATAAGTTAAGGTATCGCGAAGATTTGAACCTTAGCGTAGTGGTTACACTTCCGATTTCATAAGGGTGACTCGTAGTCTTGAACCCTATCTCAGACAGTGTAGCACACCGGATCTTTTCATTGAGTTGTGTTCTCTTCTTAGCCCGTGCGTTTATGGCCATGCACGTTATCTTGGTTTAGTGAACGCTCTAGCAACTTTGTGCCTCCAAAGTTCCAGAGGGAGCGGCCCCACTCCCACATCCACATAGGTGAGTCTATCAGGAGTACCCCCAAAGTAAAGTACTCCACCCCACATAGGGTATAGATCTCATTAAGAGTTATTAACTCAACCTCCATTGCTTTGGGATTCATGCTTCATTATGCATGAACTTTTCGCATACTACTCATGACTTGTTATTACCCATTGAACCCATTTTTTGGGATCTCCAGTCTATTGGGTCGGGTTACCATCACTTGTAGTCCGTGGTTCGGTAGGCATAAGTCTCATACCCTTGGCGGTATTATGGACGTTCTCTCTAGGTAATCCTTTCGTCAAAGGATCAGCTAGATTCTGCTCGGATCTTATATGATCCACCCTCACTGCTCCTATCGTTAGGAGTTCTCTAACAGTACTGTGCTTACGACGAATCTGTCGTTTCTTTCCGTTATAGAATCGGTTCTCAACTTTAGCGATAGCTGCGGTACTATCACAATGTATCAATACCAGAGGGACCGGCCTTTCCCATAGGGAATCTCCGACAACAATTCTCTCAACCAACTTGCTTCTTCACTAGCCGTTGCTAGTGCTATCATCTCTGATTCCATAGTTGATTGAGCTAGGATTGTTTGTTTCTTTGACTTCCAAGACACAGCTCCACCAGCGATGTTAAAAACATATCCGCTGGTTGCCTTGGAGTCATCTGATAGGGTATTCCAATCAGCATCACTATACCCTTCTAGTACAGCGGGAAACCTTTGATAGTGTATACCAAGGTTTGCTGTTCTCTTGAGGTATCTCATGACCCTCTCTATAGCATTTCAATGCTCTCTACGAGGACAGCTGTTAAACCTGCCAAGCAATCCCACGACATATGCAATGTCTGGTCGAGTGTAATCCGCAGCATAACGGAGACTGCCAATGATGCTAGCATATTCTGATTGTCTTACACTGTCTCCAGTGTTCTTAAATAGCTTTATACTAGCATCATACGGAGTACACGCAGGTTTACAGTCGAAATAGTTATACTTCTTCAAGATCTTCTCTATGTAGCTAGATTGATCTAGAGAATAACCATTTGCTGTTCTAGTTATCTGGATTCCAAGCATAAACTTTGCTTCTCCCAGATCTTTCACCTCAAAGCTCTCTTTTAACATGACTTTCGCTTCATTGACCACGTGAATATTTGTACCAAATATCAACATGTCATCTACATACAAACATATGATAGTGCAAGTGTTATTCTCTGACTTGCAGTAAATACACTTATCACTTTCATTCACCTTAAAGCCATGTGAGAGAACGAGAGTGTCAAACTTCTCATGCCACTGTTTTGGAGCCTGTTTCAAACCATATAATGATTTGTCCAACTTACAGACTTTCGAGGCATGTTCAGGGATAACAAACCCTTCTGGTTGTTCCATATAGATTTCTTCATCTAGATCACCGTTCAAAAAAGCAGTCTTAACATCCATTTGGTGTACCATGAGATTGTTCAAGGCAGCAAGAGCAATCATGACACGAATGGATGTTATTCTAGATACTGGTGAATAGGTGTCGAAGAAATCTATATTCTCTCTCTGCCTGTAGCCCTTGACTACTAGGCGAGCTCGGAACATTTCGATTGCACCATCAGGTTTCCGTTTCGTTTTTAGAACCCATTTATTACCTAAGACTTTGCAGCCATGAGGTAAGTCTGTTAGATGCCAAGTCTTATTAGCCTCTAATGATTCCATTTCATCTATAACGGCCTCATTCCAAAAGTCAGCATCTATGGAAGTTAATGCTTCCTGCAAACTTTTTGGATCCTCGAGGGTGTATACTGTAGTAAAATCATCACCAAAATCTTTAGAGATTCTAGCTCTTTTACTTCTTCTGAGTTCATCCTCAGATCCAACACCCCCACTAGTTTCGTTATCTCTAATAGCGGGTAGTACATTACCCCCACTATTTCTCGTTTTAAATGGAAATCTTGTCTCAAAGAAATCAGCATCAATGGATTCTATTATAGTACGAGCATTCAAATCATAGAATCTATATGCCTTACTATTGACCGCATAGCCAACGAAGGCACATTCATATGCTCGACTAGCTAACTTAATCCTCTTAGGATCAGGAATTCTTACGTAGACCAAACAACCCCACGTTCTTAAATAGGACAGATTAGGTGGCTTATTCTTCAAGATCTCATAGGGTGATTCTTTTCTATTTGTTTTTGGAAGACGATTTAGCACATAGCAAACCGTCAACAAAATATCACCCCACCAAGAAGAAGCAGCTCCAGAATTGAGCAAAATAGCCACAACTAATTCTGTAAACGTCCTATTTTTCCGCTCAGCTTTACCATTCATTTCTGGTGAATATGGTGCCGTGGTTTCATGAATGATACCATGTGAGCTATAGAATTCCTTGAAGGGATTAGAGTCATTCTCTGATCCTCTATCGCTCCTAAGTCTTTTTATCTTTCGATTGCACTGATTTTCAAATTCAACCACAAATACCTTGAACATGTCAAGGGCTTCACTTTTGTTTTTCATCAAATAAACAAAGCAATAATCAGAGCAATCATCTATGAAAGTGATAAAGTATCTCTTGCCAGACCTAGTTAACGTCCCATCTAGTTCACAAATATCAGAATGAATCAGATCTAAGGGTTCTGATTCTCTACTCACATATTTATGGGGCGTTTTCGTTATTTTAGCTTGGCTACAGAAATCACATTTATCAAATTCATTCATTGAGAGTTTAGGGATATGTCCTAGCTTGCTTAAATTCTTCACAATTCGTGTGTTCACATGAGAAAGACGAGCATGCCAAACATTCAAATCACACACCATGTAAACTGAAGAATTCATCTTATTAATTTCGACATTCAACTTGAACATCCCATTACATGCATATCCCTTTCCCACAAAACTCCCATTCTTAGTAAGGGTATACAAGTCTGCCCCAATAGATTGATTAAACCCAGCCTTATTAAGAAGATATCCCGAAACAAGATTCTTCCTTATCTCTGGAGTGTGCAATACATCCTTGAGCACCATCTTCTTCCCAGAGGTGAAGTTCAGCTCCACTTCACCAGAATCAGCAACCATAGTGGTGTGAGTAGTCCCCAACAACACTTTCTTGTCAGTAGGTGCTTCTGTGTATGTTTTAAACATAGCACGATTGTTGCATACGTGCTTCGATGCACCTTTTCAATCGATTATCCCTAGAATATTCCTCAGAATAACCGATTAATAATTAATTATTAGATTACTTCCTTAATTAATAATATAGTCTCAAGTGAACCGACCGACCGACCGGTCGGACGGACGGCGCGCGCGCGTGTGTGGTGGTCCGTTAGGTCCTCCCTCTCCCACAAAAGTGGGTCACCCCAAGGGGCATGCCCTTAGGAGAGAGGCTCCTA